ATAGGCGAAAAGCTTTGAAAGCTCTGCTGTATACAATATGTACAGACGAAATCGACTTCCGAGGACATCCCTGACCTCGTTTTGACGAATGTTCACAAAGTCTGGGATTGACTTTTCCACGTCCAAGTAGTATGAGTCAACGGTTCGTCATACAAGTCAGGTACGAGACAACTTTGTACGCGTGAATATTTGATCGAGTAATAATAACACATCGTTAGCTCGTTTCATGAGTCGATTCCTCAAAGAGAACTATACCATATTCTTTGAAAGAAAAAATTGCAAGTGAGAGAGCGATGATTAATCTGCCAGCATCGACACAAAGAACACTCGGTTAATTAAGATAATTTGATTGCAGTTTATGCAGTCATGATCTTAAAATAAATATGTCATATAATAATGAGGTCCCAAGTGGAACTGCGTATTCGAGTCTGAAGTCGTTTTCGTATCGAAAGACTTGTTGCACGATGAATATAAACGACTTCGCTTGTTGCATGCTGCATTCGATGAAACAAACGCGAGTCCGTTCAATTCATGGCTTCAGGGCTAAAGTATGAGCGTGGATGACAATACACTGGGGTCTTCCCTTTTCTTTCAAGTTTCATAAGCGAGTTCAGTGGAGTAGAGATAAAAGAATGTACATACCTACGTGCGATGTAATATTCCATTTTAATTATAATTAATTAATAGTATATATTAATTTATGTCAATTATTATATTTTTTAGAAGTTACTTAACATTTATGTATTTATTATAATGCCTGTTTAATGAATATTTTAAGATTGATTAAAACAATTTACATAACACTATTTTAAGATTGATTAAAAAATAATAAATCAAATCTTAGAAATTTTTCATTTTTATTTATTTTAATAAATATTGATTCTTTATAAATGCATCGGAGGTAATTTTTTGACGGTGGTAGCTTAAGTATCTTTGGATGTAAAAGCAGGTGTTCAGACGGTGCCTGTTTCACCAATCGTTGGTGTTATTTTACTCATGTGGTGAAACACCGACAGCTGGCCAGATACCCACCGATGGCGAGATATCCATTCGTTTGGAGAGTTCTGGTTTAACGGCAAATGGTTTACTGGGCTGCTCTTGCTCTATTATCGAAGCACCTTCATGCGAGGCATTAAAGATTTATATCGTGGAAGAGAGCAGAGAGAACAGAGAGAAGAACGAATTCTTAAATTGTAATATCGCATCTTAAGTTTGTCTATTATCTATTAAATTCGCCAATTCGTCGATGAGCCATTATAGCTATTTAGCGATTTCCTCCGAAAAAAGTGATTACGTTTTGAGCCGCATTGGGCCCCATTCGGTGTCCCAACGATGTACAGGCTCACCCTGAACACCCTTTCTCTCTACATATAGAAAGTTAGTACCAATGTAAAAATGGGTTCAAATAAATTTTTAATGCTTTTACAAAAAATATAGGAATACACAATTTGGGAAGTTATTTATTACATTTATATAATCATATTTTTTAAACGTTGTATTGATGTAGATGAATGTATTATTATGAAAATACTGTAAATTGGTCACAAGTGGTCGTTCGGAGGATCGATGCGGCTTTTCCATTATTTTAGAAAATGCACATAGCCTTTTATATAAAAAGGTTCTCCATTTCTATTCTATTCTCCCATGTCTACGACAAGCCTAAATATTAAAATGGAGACACGATTACTTTTATAAAATTCTTATCTCTGAACTTATGATCACGTAAGCACCCCAGAATCCAGCGTTCGATTAAACTGATCGTCACAGTAGCAGTAGTAAAGGTCGGTAACGATCAGCCAGAAAAGTAGGAACAGTCCTGTTAGCGTCGGACGTTCCCTCCTTAATTATTGACCGCGCCGGCTCGGCGATTTTGTCGGGGAAAACGGGCGTCGGAGCTATCGAGTGTACCTATCGCGAAGGTACAAAACGTGCTCGTGACTGGGAGCCTGAGCGTGATTATCGTTTCGAGCACTTTTATTAGCGCGTAAGGTTATCGCGGCGGACGAGCATCGAGCTGAGCGCATAAAGTGTCGCTTTTCGATCGTGCTTTCCCAACGTTGAGTACGCCATTTGGCTTTTCACCGTGCAAAGTACAAGTACAGTCGAGGGGAAGCTAAAACCGACCGAGAGGAGCTTTGCCGCGGAACCATATAATACCGATGCGAACGACGGTACGCAAATAAATACAGTGCGAACGGGAATGCACGAAAGTAAAGCGGGAGATAAATCGAAACGGCACGGCAGCGGTCGCTTTAAGGGAACATCACGAATTATGTATGGAATATCCTCGGACAATGCCTACAGCAGCGGTAGGATTACACATAAATACGTGAAAATTCTCATTCATAGATACTGGCTGTATTTGTAAAATTCAAGCGATACGAATTTCAACAATTCGGGCAGTGATGAAGTAAAATATTTTTTCGTTAAATTTCAATCATTCTTAATCGATTTGAATTTTTATGCTCGTTAATCAAACTCAATGTACAAAATGATTACCAAATTTATTGTGGAATTTTTTTATTAAATGTTTTTGTACATTTACATTAATATCCTTTTAATATTTCGCATTAGACATGTTTCTTAGACATACAATATCTAATTTAAGATTCTAAATTTCTTTACTCGTCTTGGAAAATATGAAATATGAATTGGATTCTTACTTAGAAAATCACTCTCTGATGGACTGACTCATTCATCCATCAACGTTCAACCCAAACTGCTACACCTATTCACTTACGATTTTGGATATTATATCTTTACAAGAAATATTGCTGTTACATAAATAAATACAGCCTACGACATTTCGGAATATACAGGGTGAGGCACTTTAAAAAAACATAAGCAAGAATTATCCTCGAAATTTCTTTCCACGAGCTCACGTGCATGTATCAATTTTTATCCGAGCGAAAGGTATATGTAGAAACGTCAGCTGGGACGCGAGAGTGTACGCATGTATACGCGCCTTTGAAACCGGAAGAACAACCGGGACCAGGCGCGGTGAAAATATCGCATAAAACGAGCGATCGCTCCGTAGGCGACTGAAATGATTCGACAACAATGACGTGGACCGTAAATCAAACGAAACGCAGGACACCGACGTGCGCGTCGTCGTGTGCTTTTCGAGTGCATCGTGGTTGCCTCACGCGGGACTACGCGCACGTGTAATATAATCACCCGACGACCAAATGTTTGAAACAGCGAGCTTAAAACGGTACACACAGGTATAGAGCCGTAGACCATCCCCGTGGCCGTAGTACCTCGACTATATTGACCCTGACGCAAGCTTACCAAGTTTGCCCAATAACGTCCCTTCCACCGTGGTCGCTTCTCTGTTAATTTCATTCGCAGAGGATCGGGACACGTGGCGAGTCTCTCTCCTCTGCCGGCTAGATTCCGCCGATTTAACGGTCAATTTATCGGTAACCATTGATCGAGCGCGCCCGAATCGGTGAAACCGCCGCTGCCGTACGACCGTCGAAAATAAAAATAGAAATGTACGCTCCTCGCGACTAGAACGCGATGGCAACGCAATAAAGCGCTGTACAATAAACTAACGCGTCGCGTATTGACACAGAGCACTAGGTATCCCTTTTGCCAGCGGTATTACATCGTTGTGAGTCGCAATAACGACCTCGCGGCTTCGATTTTTGTTCGTTTGCTCGTTTGTTTGCATACTCGTTCGTTTGTTTGTTTGCTTGCTCGCTCGCTTGCTTATTTGCCTGCCGTTGTTTCCGCCTTTTCGATTGGTATCCTCGAAACTGACCGGTCGCCGTGCGTGAACCGAAAATGCGCGCCGGCCACGACCCTGTACCATCGAAATTCTTGCTGCTGGGGCAGGAATTTTCGGCGACGACCGTCTATTTGGCTGTTCCTTTTCTTCGGTGGCTGCGCCGATCGTATATAGCAAGGGTAGTTGCAGCCAGAACGGGAATCGGCTGATCGGATTACCGAAACTGTGAATAGAGCCTCGCGTTCTTTTGTTTGCCGAACGACTTTCTGTGTCGATTGAGTTACTCCACAGAGATTCTTTCTTCCCAGCCTTTTTAGTATTCGCAAGCGACTGTCGTTGATATAGTTTCCGGTGGTTTCTGTATTTTGTCAGGGCAACGATAAAAAGGATACTTTCTCGTTTTGTTATCGACGAACCTTTAGGCTAAGAGTCATTTCAGTACATATTTATTTCATTTGCAAAGGAGTAATTTAGTATAATTTGTCTTTTAATTTAGTATCGTTTGTAGATCTAAGCAAGTTATATGCATGGACAAAGCTTGTATAGTCATTCAAAACTTTCTTCCTTTCTTATACTAAATATGTACTTTGCCAAAAATTATATTAGCGTGACCACCTTTTGTTAGTAAGAAATTCCGGTGGCATCTGTGCAGCGAACTGTTGGATGCCATTGTAAGTACTACGTTGAGCATCGATAAATTTCTCAATGCTAACCACGCGAGTTAATCCGACCGAAATCCTGAAAAATATATCGCTGGCATTTGGCGATGTATAATTCGTGAAAATTGCGAATTACCGTTCGGATCTTTATAAACGATAAGCCGTCGCTTTTGTTTCGCTGAGAATCACGAATCGGAACGGGTGGCATAGGGAAAGGGTGGTTTCATATGTGCCGCTGGGAAGCGAGTTTGCAAATCGTCCCTTTTATCCGGAACTCGTAGAACAGATTTGTTCGCCTTCCCCATCGGAAGCCAGGCGTTGCTGCATACGCGATCGGGAGATAGCGAGATCATCCTCCGCTTGTTCTGCTGGATATAAAACTTTTTTTATCTCGACGTTCCCGCGATAAAATAGCGCGCCGCTTTTTCCCTTCGACGTTCTTTCATCTCGGGATTCAACTTTCGGAATTTCAAGCAGCCGCTAGCGCGCGCCCGTCGTAGCCGACGACTACGACGACCGTAAATCGTCTGGGAAATCATCCGAGATTATTATTGCGTTTTTGAAATCGCAACCACGCGGGAGCTTGCCGGATTTCGCGAGCTAATCAGCGGCGGTTCTTTGTTTGCGTTACGAGCGGGGATAAAGGCTAGTTTTATAGTAAGTTATTTAGGATGACGGATTAAAAGTTTCGTACTTGCGCAAAAGCTTGAATGTCATTTAAATTTTTAATCCAGATTAGGTAATTAAATTCTTTTCCTCTGTTTTCTGTTGCATGAGAAATTTTCTTCAATTTTCTATTAAAAATTCTTTACCTGAACATTGATGAAAATTCATTGTTATCAGTGCTTGTGTTCTACATTCAAGTGCACGTGCGTGAGCAATTTTTTATCAAACAATGGAACTGTAAATTCTCAGTGTTGATTGAAAGAGATGATTAATTTCATTTTTCTGGAGATTAAATTTCCACTAATTTCTTTTAATCTGATATCTATTTTTAAACACTGCGCAGGAATATTATTATAATTATTTAATTGGTAGAAAATAATGTTTCGTTTAATAAAATTACAATTATTTTCAGTACAATTGCATCGCTTAAACTTATTAGGTTTCTTGTTAATTCCTAAGTAATACGATTTAAAAGAAGATTTAATTAATAGCTCAGATATTACTTCTATTAATTAGTTCCAGCAAAAAATAAAAGAATAGAAATAAATATAAAGTTTCGATTAGAATCGCAGATTATTTATGTACTTTCGACTAACACTTAAAATCGCTGCGTTTATCTGTTGACTTAAAACTGTCACTGATATGTTGTAAATCAGTAGGATCTAGATCATAATGGCTCGAAACACTTATCTCAAAGCCACCGGAAGAATATGACGTAGATGCAACTTTTCAATATTTCCCCTTGAATATTATTGCGACACCTTATCGCATATAATCTTGATCGATATTTTAAATTCATCAAGTGAGATTAACTAAAAAGTATTCGTGAAAAATAATTTCCACACAAAAGGAAAGACGAAATCTTGAAGACTAGTCATGGTACTTAATTTTTCTTGAAAAATCAATGTAATCACGAGACGTTAAGTTCTATAATCTCAACTTTTCTAATCTGCGTGTAATCTATAACACGCCTTTCTAGACTGATAGTTTAAGTTCATTAAAGGAGATAAGTTAAAAATTATTCATAAGAAATATTCGAACATTATTTCGGATTGAAAAATCTGTACATATCTTGACGATTAATCCTAATATTTAATTTCTATTGAAAATTTATTTTATTATCACTAGGACTTGAATATTTCTAACTTGAGTGTATCAAAAGTTTGTAACACGCCTTTCTGGGAAAAGTTTCTCCGAAGTTCGACACCAGAGCGCGGAACGAAACAACGATTTCACGGCTCGTTTTATTAAACCCCGCACGCAAACCAGATAAACGAGGCGTTTACGATGAAATTCGTATGTAGTGAAGCACCGTTTTATCAGCGACAGATCAATCGTATCGTCGCGCACGGAGCTGTCCAAACATTTCCGTCATACTTTTATCGTACAATACTCGGAACGTTCAACGGCGATTGTTCAAATGTAGTTCAATAACTCGCTAACTATGTCACGTATCGGCGTCGGGACAAAAATGCGCGCCGGACGATCAATGCCGAACATCCTTGGACACGTGTCGTGCGATTTGCAAACGCTCGACGGGTCCGCGTCGTATTGTCTCGATCCGGGGGTGGAAAGTCGAGTCACGAAAGAAACGTATTTCGTCGGCCGCCGCGTCGCAAGGCGCTTTATTCGTGGCCACGTTATGAAGAGAATCCGGGATCCGACGCTCGATAATGGCCCGTGCCGATATCTCAGATTATATAGTTGCCTCCTCGACGCGGTCCCGTTCAGACGATCGCGATTGCGGCGTCGGATACGACAAGGCAAGTCGTGATACCGTCTCAACCGCGAACTGTTCTCCACGCCGCGCCATGACGGACGTTAAAGAGAAGACACCGAAGGTGAGTCGAAAGTTTCCGGAGGGCGGGTGGCGAACGGCGCGGTATGTTCGTGAGAAATTTGTTGGCCGCTGGACAACAGACTCGCGCGGTGACTGTCGGGTGTATGGACGACCGTCCGCTGGGATTCTCGATACAAATATCCCGATAAAATTCTGTCAACTAACCCGAACTCTGAGATGGCACTGTGGGAACGAGTGCATACACCCGAGTGTTACTCCGAAGGATTGCTTTTTCTGATGGCTGCCGGGGAAAATAATGCAGCGACAGACGGGAATTTGTCTGAAAACAACGCAGTTCTAGCACAGTGGCCGTAACTGTGGTTCACGCGAAGGACTTGAATATTTCTAACTTGAGTGTATCAAAAGTTTGTAACACGCCTTTCTGGGAAAAGTTTCTCCGAAGTTCGACACCAGAGCGCGGAACGAAACAACGATTTCACGGCTCGTTTTATTAAACCCCGCACGCAAACCAGATAAACGAGGCGTTTACGATGAAATTCGTATGTAGTGAAGCACCGTTTTATCAGCGACAGATCAATCGTATCGTCGCGCACGGAGCTGTCCAAACATTTCCGTCATACTTTTATCGTACAATACTCGGAACGTTCAACGGCGATTGTTCAAATGTAGTTCAATAACTCGCTAACTATGTCACGTATCGGCGTCGGGACAAAAATGCGCGCCGGACGATCAATGCCGAACATCCTTGGACACGTGTCGTGCGATTTGCAAACGCTCGACGGGTCCGCGTCGTATTGTCTCGATCCGGGGGTGGAAAGTCGAGTCACGAAAGAAACGTATTTCGTCGGCCGCCGCGTCGCAAGGCGCTTTATTCGTGGCCACGTTATGAAGAGAATCCGGGATCCGACGCTCGATAATGGCCCGTGCCGATATCTCAGATTATATAGTTGCCTCCTCGACGCGGTCCCGTTCAGACGATCGCGATTGCGGCGTCGGATACGACAAGGCAAGTCGTGATACCGTCTCAACCGCGAACTGTTCTCCACGCCGCGCCATGACGGACGTTAAAGAGAAGACACCGAAGGTGAGTCGAAAGTTTCCGGAGGGCGGGTGGCGAACGGCGCGGTATGTTCGTGAGAAATTTGTTGGCCGCTGGACAACAGACTCGCGCGGTGACTGTCGGGTGTATGGACGACCGTCCGCTGGGATTCTCGATACAAATATCCCGATAAAATTCTGTCAACTAACCCGAACTCTGAGATGGCACTGTGGGAACGAGTGCATACACCCGAGTGTTACTCCGAAGGATTGCTTTTTCTGATGGCTGCCGGGGAAAATAATGCAGCGACAGACGGGAATTTGTCTGAAAACAACGCAGTTCTAGCACAGTGGCCGTAACTGTGGTTCACGCGGAATTATAGTACCGTAGTTTCGCCTGTCCAAATACGCGTTTGTACTACTGATGGATAGTTGAGAAACTTTTCAAAATGTTTTATCTGATACTCATGTTAGACACTCGTGTATCATAACGGTTTATTATAATTAATATCGGACTGATAAACGTTTGATTATATTCACTTCAAGTTTTTTTATCATTAATTTGTGATAAACGTGATTAATTTTTAATTATATTTACTTCCAGTTTTATCATTATTAATTTGTGATAAACGTGATAGGCAACGAATTATGTAAATTCCTTCTATTTGTACGAATCGAATTTGTACATTGAATGTGCATCTTGACGCTCTGATAATGTTTCTGCGTAAAATACCAGCGCTTCGACAGATCTTATCTATACGTGGCTCGTTTGAGTAGATTAAATTGATTGAACTACATATCAATACTCGTGCCGTTAGGCTACAGATAAATTCACTCGACTCGTGCCAGTTCACTTAATCTAGTTACTTAAACATGCATTTTGCAGTCATTCATCGGAATTGTTTGCCTTGTTCTCACCTTGTCTGCTACCTTGTTTATATGTATTTATGATTAGATTGAAGATTCTGTGCATTTATCAAAGAATGGAATGAGTAAGATTATAAATAACAAATGTAACATATCAAAATGTATGAAATATGAAAAGCTGCATGCGTATCACAATATCGAAACAGTGAAAGTGATTTCTATCAAAAATTCTATCTATTTTTCAAACTGACATCATAAATATTCTATTTTGCATAAAAATCTCCAGTCTATGAATGTTCGATCTCTGAAACACGATTGATAGAGCAAGGACTATGCTATACATATTTTAATACTAAACTTACCATGGACGGTTCAAATGACTCTGTTTATATTCTTCTATAAAAAACTGAAATAAAACCTTGTGCTGTCATATTGTTTTTTAAAATTGTAACTATTATTTAACACGTTTGATGTCACGTGTATTATAAATGGTACATGAAGAAATATTTATTTAATGCGCTGAAACATCAAATGGCCTAAACGACAAGTTGGGGAAAAACGGCTTGGCATGGAACGTGTCAACTTGGTAACAAAATAAAGTACCAACATTAAATTGCACTCAAACGTAAAAAATATAGATTATAGTAGTGTGAAAAAAACTAGTAGGTTGTATCCAGTAGGATTTGTAAAATAATAGAAAAAGAAGTCAGTGAGCAGAAATTAGGACATTTATTATAATTTTTTAATCAATTCTGAAAATATCTAAAATTTCGTACAATGTTTTATTAATATTTACTAACTATTAAAATTTGAATGGTTTGCCATTGTTCTTATTTAAGAACTCACAGAATCTTGAATTCTTCTATAAATTTTTTCGGTAAACTTCGGCCTTCCCTGGATTTCATACATCTCACGCTTCCGATGGTAATTTGTATGATACAAATATGATGGTAAACCGTGTTATTGGCAGGCGAAGAAGATTTCTCTGGGAGTTGGCGGCGCCTTGGTGGAGCTGGCGCAGGAACCTGAACGGGGTAGCTGGGCCAACCCCCTCGAGTTTGTTCTATCCTGCATCGGGTATGCCGTTGGCATTGGCAATGTTTGGCGTTTCCCTTCCCTTGTATATCGTAATGGCGGTGGTACGTATGTGTTCACGGGCATGGTACACGCGTGCCCGTCCGCCGTGAGAGCGGCGAGTGTACGTATGTTATACGTAAGTACACACACGGACGGCGGAACACCTCCGGTACAGGAGAAAAACGTCTGCTCGGGTCTGGCTAAACAGACGGTCACGGGGGCCAGCAAACGAACTACTGGATTACGCGGAATGATTTATTCTCATGCGCGCGGTCGTTTTCGTGGAAAAAGGAGGATAGTCGGAAGAAAAACAGAGGATGGGTAAATAGAGAAAGAGGAGTAGTAGCCGGTCGGGCACCGGCGAGCTCGACACCGTGCACGTGCGTGGTCAACGTGACGAAGCGGTTAATTCGAATAATTAAGCGTAGTTTGGCAGCTCGTGACCGACCGTTCGGCAAATTTAATAAATCTTTCTGGCTGCGTGTGCGGTTATGCCTGTTGATACGGTTGCACCCTCTCTCGTTGGGTTTATTTGCGAAGCGCCGACTGGGAGAAAGAGAACGGCTGAACATATATGCGAGAGAGAGAGAGAGAGAGAGAGAGAGAGAGAGAGAGAGAACGGTTCAAATGACTCTGTTTATATTCTTCTATAAAAAACTGAAATAAAACCTTGTGCTGTCATATTGTTTTTTAAAATTGTAACTATTATTTAACACGTTTGATGTCACGTGTATTATAAATGGTACATGAAGAAATATTTATTTAATGCGCTGAAACATCAAATGGCCTAAACGACAAGTTGGGGAAAAACGGCTTGGCATGGAACGTGTCAACTTGGTAACAAAATAAAGTACCAACATTAAATTGCACTCAAACGTAAAAAATATAGATTATAGTAGTGTGAAAAAAACTAGTAGGTTGTATCCAGTAGGATTTGTAAAATAATAGAAAAAGAAGTCAGTGAGCAGAAATTAGGACATTTATTATAATTTTTTAATCAATTCTGAAAATATCTAAAATTTCGTACAATGTTTTATTAATATTTACTAACTATTAAAATTTGAATGGTTTGCCATTGTTCTTATTTAAGAACTCACAGAATCTTGAATTCTTCTATAAATTTTTTCGGTAAACTTCGGCCTTCCCTGGATTTCATACATCTCACGCTTCCGATGGTAATTTGTATGATACAAATATGATGGTAAACCGTGTTATTGGCAGGCGAAGAAGATTTCTCTGGGAGTTGGCGGCGCCTTGGTGGAGCTGGCGCAGGAACCTGAACGGGGTAGCTGGGCCAACCCCCTCGAGTTTGTTCTATCCTGCATCGGGTATGCCGTTGGCATTGGCAATGTTTGGCGTTTCCCTTCCCTTGTATATCGTAATGGCGGTGGTACGTATGTGTTCACGGGCATGGTACACGCGTGCCCGTCCGCCGTGAGAGCGGCGAGTGTACGTATGTTATACGTAAGTACACACACGGACGGCGGAACACCTCCGGTACAGGAGAAAAACGTCTGCTCGGGTCTGGCTAAACAGACGGTCACGGGGGCCAGCAAACGAACTACTGGATTACGCGGAATGATTTATTCTCATGCGCGCGGTCGTTTTCGTGGAAAAAGGAGGATAGTCGGAAGAAAAACAGAGGATGGGTAAATAGAGAAAGAGGAGTAGTAGCCGGTCGGGCACCGGCGAGCTCGACACCGTGCACGTGCGTGGTCAACGTGACGAAGCGGTTAATTCGAATAATTAAGCGTAGTTTGGCAGCTCGTGACCGACCGTTCGGCAAATTTAATAAATCTTTCTGGCTGCGTGTGCGGTTATGCCTGTTGATACGGTTGCACCCTCTCTCGTTGGGTTTATTTGCGAAGCGCCGACTGGGAGAAAGAGAACGGCTGAACATATATGCGAGAGAGAGAGAGAGAGAGAGAGAGAGAGAGAGAGAGAGAAAAAGGGGCAGTGGGAGAGGGAGAGATAGACTGGCCGGGTATTCTGAACACTTGGCTTTTAATTATTCTATTTTACTTCCACTCTCGGCGTTTTGTTCTTTTCTGTTTACGCGGCCTCGGCTCTTGATTGTTTCCCCGGCCGACCGCTTCTAATGAAAGATGGCTAAACAGAAAAGAGTGGCCGGACGTTTTTAATCTTTTTGCTGTGACGCGGTGTTCCGTTGTGTTAATCGGACTGCCAGGCTCGATAAGTTTTAATTACTGTCCACCCGAGAGATACAGTGTATCGGTTCGACGTTCTCACGTTGTTAACAAATATTAGGGGAGGAAACGAGGTCAAGAACGGTTTGCCGTTTGTTGGACTGCAAATAATGTTTATCGACTGTTTTGTAACAACTGGACTGCGGATATTCGTGCATTTATGGGATGTTTCAGTAATTTGAAGGGACAAAGTATGCAGTAATGCGTAAATAAATACAAAATATTAAAAGTAAAATATAATTTATAATATTTAAAGGAGAAAACAAATGATTAGTTAATTTTATTTATACATAGAAATTTAAACATCTGCAGTCTAATTATATATCTCTTTTCTTTTTACAAATATCACTGCGAAGATCTTTTCTAATTACGTCAAACTAATAGCAATCAATAATATACAGAGTAGTTCAATTGATATTTGCAACTTTCGTCGTTATTCTTATAAGTAGCAAAGAATATTTATACATAATGATGGATAGTTTCGAGAGAGGTGCATTTTAATATTGCGAGCTATTCTGCATACGTAATAGAGATACGAACGTTATCAACACTTCATAAATAGGGTTGTATAATTTTCTCTGCATCGATCGATGAAGCTTTATATTCTCTACAAAAAGTATTAACCTATTAATATCGAAAATAAATTAATTAAGAAGAAAAATGAATCATTCGATATTCATTGTACAATCTAGTAAAAATATATTTGAACTTGTTAAAATACAATGATAAATTCATTTAATGCTTCGTGTCATTTAATGAATTTATCCTTGTATTTTGACAAACATATTTTCCACGAGAAACGTATTTTAATTTGTCAAAACACGAGGATAAATTCATTTAATCCGTACGGAATACGTTTTGATAAAACGTTATTGTATATCGTGTATCATACTTCTTACTGACTACCCTGTACATTCCATAATTTATTGAACAATTTTTTAAATAGTTATGTCAGCGACTATTGACTGTCGGATATAGACTAAATCATCTCCTGGTTTTATTTTCAGGTGCGTTCTTAATTCCCTTCGTCCTGATGTTAATAACGATGGGATTGCCAATATTCTTCTTGGAGTTGGCAGTCGGACAGTATTCCGGACTTGGCCCTAACGAGGCATTTACGCGTATGGCACCGGCACTTCAGGGCCTCGGTTATTGCACCCTGGTCGTCATTTTGTTCGTAATGGTCTATTACATGGTGATCGTCGCCTGGACACTCTTCTACACGTTCGTCTCGTTCATGCCGAAGCTTGCCTGGGCCTATTGTGACAACGATTTCAACACGAACAGTAAGCACGCCGATGAAATAACAAACGATGGTTACCCCCCCTCGGACCCTTGTATATTTCACAAAACGCAGTGCTTCCTCCACGGTGCGGTGCGCCGAGTTCGACTTGTTATTTAGCGTAACGTAGCGTAACGTAGCGTAACCGCGCCGCGGCCGGCTATTTTATAGTCGCCATAAAGCCCGAAGAGGTCGTAGAACCGTTTTAAACGATAGAATGACGAAGCGCTCCCTCCTTTGGAATTCAATTTATCCACTCCGTCGGACGGAAACGCATAATGCGAGAAAATATTCTGCAATTTTTTAAGTAATAGTAAAAACAGTGTTAGCGATCGCATCACAGTATCTTTGAATCTGGAGCTCCTTCCACACACTTTCACATTTACTCTAATCTGGATTCTACAATCTTTGTTCTCGTTGGATCGATTCTTACATTATCACAGGCTTCCGCGGAGATGAAATTCAACAATCGATCTCCGTAATTAGCGTAGTAGGGATGGCACGCGCTTGGTTATCTCTTAATTTCCTTGCAGAACCTTTGCAGAATATATAACGTACCTTTGTACGGTTACTATTTAATATGAAGAAAATGTTGGTTTATTAAAATAAATCGAAGGACGTAATTGTAGGCAACGTGAATCTGCATGAAACATGTATAACGTCGAGTGAAGAGGGGTTAAACGCGAGGTATCCGGATGTACAGGATGCAATAAACGCGCGCTCGGTAATATTCGAAGATGCTTGTCGGAACAACTTTTCATACCTCAGCGAACAAGCCAGCTTCTTCAGCCGCTTATTGTCGCACCTTACACGTTGTCGTTAGAACCGAGGGATGAACGTGCGCGTTTCGCGGTCGCGTCATAAGGGAATGCTTGAAACCAGAAATCCTCTGCAGAACGAAGTATCTCTCTAAAATAAACGCCGGTAGAACAACAATGCGCCGCTGTAATTAGTGGAGGTCTCTCGGCGACCGTAACAAAGCACCTTGCCGGATATACGCGCGCGTATATGCATACGTGTGTCTGTTACCTTGGTGCACCCGCGGTTATCGCGCGTAATATCGAATCTACGATGCGTCGTATCCCGTAAACGACGGCCATTCCGTTTCAATCAGCGATAACTTTTAGGACGGCTCTACGTTTGCTTCCTAATTATCGCATAAACGGTATTGGATATCTGTGTATATATTTGCGAAACCGTAACGTTGGCAGATTGTTACAGTGGTCTGCAAGAGATCGAGTGTCAGGCGGAGGATCCGGAAACGATATTTTACAACAAGACTTGCATATTGGCCAAGAAAGTCTGCGAGAGCTTCGGTTTTCTCGATGGCAACGTTACCCACTGCATCGATCACGACGGGGTGGTACCTCTGCAACCTACGAGGGTTCTGTCTTCGGAGGAATATTTCAAGTATGTGCATACCAACCGTATTCGTTGTTTAATAAGCAGACAATCGGTGAATAATATGAGTCGTCTAGTTTTAAACTAAGAGCATCACTTTTATTCGAGGATTGGAAAAATTATGGAACTTTTACATGGATTTCAATACCTCATTAGAATTTATAAAAAGAGATTGCACTTATGCTTCTATGTGAACTAAAGTATAATTATTCGTTCTTATGTTTACTGAAAAATTAATCCATGAATTGATTTAAAATATTGCAGGTAGCTTTTTAATAGTAATAGGAATCTATTATAACAAATTCAACATGCTAGCATTGTTTAAGTATATAGTCAATACATCCTTAATTTAATTTCTTATAGTAAAGTAACGTGCGGTAAATTTTTTGCTGCTACATTGGTGGGCGAAATAAGAGAAAAAGAGTTCGCGGTTTCGAGTGAAGGAGTCTCGCGGTGATTCAAAGTTATAGACGTCGGTCAAAGTGATCGTTGTATCGAACTCGAAGGGTCAATTCCGCAACCGAGGACCAAACTAAGCTCTTTATGAAGTAATATCAAAGAAGGAGTATACTATATACCTCCCCATTGATCGTAAAGTACATGAAGCAATTTATTAGAGAAATTCTTTTAAATCGGCAAAGGATTATTTCTATCGATTTAAGAAACTGGTAGTCATTTCATCAACTATTTCACAGTAGGCAAAATTCGTTTCAGCTTTAAAACAGAATAGAACTACGTGTAAAACGTCGGCTTCGCGATTTCTATGATCGTTTCTCCGGCGCGGGATAAAGGCTTTCCAAATGACACCGTTAAAACAAATTCGTAGTCGCGCGTTTATCCCGGGATTTTTATACGAAACGATTTACTTCACGCCACGTCGCGTCGCGTCGCCCCTCGATCGGATAACAAGTCCCGGCTTCCATTCCTCTATAAGCAAGAAAATCGCGAAGAAAGGTAAAACGTGTAATCGTGATCGGATATTATCGTTGATCGAATCCAGCGACTACGTGCTGGGTCTGCGCGGAGCCACGTGGGAACATTTCGGAGGCATAAGATGGGAATTGTTAGGATGTCTCACCCTCGCCTGGATAATCTGCTACTTGTGCCTGATGCGTGGTGTCCAGTCCATCGGGAAAGTCGTCTACTTCACTGCTCTCTTCCCTTACGTCATGCTCACGGCGTTGCTCATACGAGGTAAAACAAAAATACTTTCCATACGTAATAGAAATTGTTGTTATTATACCTTTCATGTTTCACACATTATATGAATTCTCTATGTACGCATCTTCCCATATCGAATTTTACTATGAATGCATAAAATCTGCAGTCTATTTATTAATTCTGATTTGACAGGCAGAGAAATTGGACAATAAACCTTCAGCGAATTAAAGAGTGAATTAACGAAGTCTGTGAAAGCAACCAACGAAAAACTGTTGCAAATTTCACGACTAAAATACAATTATTAATTTATAAACGCTTCGAACGAGAGTATGGAAATTTTTTTACATCCGCACGAGTAGATTGATTTGTATTTTTAATAACGATCTGTAAATTTGCAAACTAAATTGCACAGTTAGTATGAACAATAAAATTGAGGCATTACTGATAATAATACAATGCGCAACTGGCGAATTAATAGTCGTAACGTATCGAGCGATTAAATCATTTGTAACACATATATACATACAAATGTTATCATTTGTAACTGTGAGTCAGGCGGCGAAACGCAACCCGTCATTATTTATGCCGAACTCTAATTAATTCGAATTCTCCGGTCGACTCTGAAACCTCGCCACGCGAACGTGCAGCGCACAAACGAAAATCACCAGCTGTCTGCGGTAGATCATTTTCGCGTATTTATGGCAGTTTATAACGCGTATCCCGTCAAGAAAGAGCGAGTCCAAACGTGTAATTTTATAAGAGACGCGTGTGACATAACTATATGGTACCGCGGACTCGTGCCGAGATCGCGAGATCCGTGCGGCGTGGAATTTTCACGTTAACGTCCCTTGTTTCGCTAATGATCGGTAATTTATTTAAATATAGTTCTTCCAGTTCAGACGGAAGTCACACGGAAAAAACGTAAAACACGGCTATTACCAAAAACTCGTAAAAGTTTTGCTGTACTTGTTTAGATGTACGACGCGTCTGACTACATAGTCTCCTATTTCACTTACGCTTCGCTCGCTCCACTTGCCAGTGTAATTGTAGTCCTTTAAAAAAGCTGTTGGGTGTGCAGATATAATGTACACATTTTTTAATTGGATTTAACGTTACTAAAAATTATAAGAAATATTTCTTTTGAACAATTCACTATTTTAATATTTATTTTATACACTGTACGTTTTGCTCACTTCGCGTGCAAATATAATTTTACTTTAATTTTTCTGTTTGTCTTTTTTTAATTGGATTTAACGTTATTAACAATTGCCAAGAATATTTCTGTTGAACAATTTATTACTCTCACAATTACTTCGTGAAACAATGAATTAATGGTAATGACGTTCGTGTAAATGAAATCGCTGATGCAGGTGTCACATTGGAGGGTGCTGGTGACGGTTCCCTTTGGTTCATTACTCCAAAATGGTCGACGCTGGAATCTACGGGAGTCTGGGCGGACGCCGCGTCTCAAGTTTTCTATTCACTCGGCATCGGTTGTGGATCCCTCATCACTCTATCGAGCTACAGTAACTTCAATAATAACTGTCACAGGTATCGCATAATTAAGGTTCATTAACAGTTTCATACGAAACGTTCGTTTGCTGAAAAACGAAATATTTTTTGGTGTACATTGAATTAAAGCCACCCACCCACCTTCCTTCCTTTGACGTTACGTAATGATTACAAAATCGTATAATATTTTTTTCGTCGAGAGATCCGAACACGCTTTTCAGCAAATTTTAATTAGAAGTCGTCCATGAAGAAAAAAAAGCGGACGCGAGATAGCTGACGAATAAGCACGAGAGGATCATGTTAATCTATTCGTCCTCCTATCAAATTGCTATTAGCGATCCACTAAAATTTCGACGTCACCCAATTAAAATCTTTCTGCCGATTAATATTCCTCATCCGATTAAATGTCGTCGACAGGTATAACGCGTTTCCCGTCCGCGTAGATTTCCAGCTTATGCCCGCTCGCACCGGCGACTTCGCCCTCCTCTCCCTCGGTCCGAGTCGTGCCCGCGAGGGCATCTCAAAGGGCGGAATCCTGTGTTTGCACGAACGAATTAACCACGCCGAGTTTCTAATAATGTAATTCGCCGCGTAACGCTTAAACTAGAGCTTCCGGGCTTACCGAGGTATTTTCGACGGCGCTCGGATCCGAATAACCCGGCTCAAAGCGTTTGTTAGGTACCTATTTCATTTCGGCGCGACTCGCCGATCGTAAGGCGAATCAAGCCGGGCTGCGTCTCGGAAACGAGAGAACACGCCCCACCGTTCACGTGCTCGAAATATTGCTCCAAGTCGTAATTAGCATGATTATCAGACGCTGAAGTTACCATCTGACCGGCGGATACGATTCGCAGCACGTTGCATCGCGTATATAAATTATACGTATGTATTACTGCCGCGCAAGTCGAATTAGTAAGCGGTTATATTGTAGTTATACGCGCAACCCGTTACCCCGCGTGCCATTTGCTTGAATGTATTTTACCGCCGATCGTTTATGGTCCCTCCGTTTTATCACGTAACTGCCGCGTTTTGTCTCCTCTACGTTTTATATTTTTGATCAATCATAAGCTAAACATCAAATCGGCGCATTGAATCGTCGTTCTTTAAAAATCTTGTCTGAAATGATTGAAAATGATTTTGATTATGTACCAAATTTTATCAAGATCTGATTTTTAATTCTATTAATAATATAACTGCCTTACGACATCACAGTTTTATTAAAATATATTGCAATACAATTGTTGACTAATATTAATATTACATTATTCTTTATTATTAGCAAATTAATACTAAAATATTTCTTTTATTCATTATTTTATTTTTTCTTCATAAAAATGGATAACATTGATAATATATGAATTTCTTTCAGAGACGCGATTTTCGTGACTTTCGCGAATCTGGGCACATCGATTTTTGCTGGTTTCGTAATCTTCTCGATCATGGGATTCCTAGCCGTCCAAATGGATGTGCCAGTCGACGAAGTAATCAAAAGTGGGGCAGGCTTGGCTTTCGTCGCGTACCCGGAAGCCGTGGTGCGGATGCCAGCTCCGAACGTATGGGCCGTGCTGTTCTTCGTGATGCTCTTCATCCTCGGCATCGGTAGCCAAGTAAGTATATCAAACATTAGAACGTGACACGGTGGCGTAACGAAATGACGCCCTTTGAGTTTCGCGAGTACTCGAAGGAAATAGAGAGGAATGTACAGCGCGAGTCGATTCGTAGTTACGTAGGTAAGAAGTAAAAAGAATGTAGGTAGAGGTAGCGTGAAAAAGGCACGAGAAAGGGCGAGAGCGTGAGCAATGAAAGAGAACGAAGGGGGAGGACGTGGGCAGGGGAGCGTGAAGGCTTTTGAAAATGAAAGGCATCGTATTTCCATGTTGTTTAAAGTTTAAAGTACAGGCTTGTTTTATGCAACGGGTGTTGGCCGATGCGTGAGTCGGAGAAAGCGCATGAAATTTTTTCGTCCTACCGAATCGGGGCTAAGAAGGCGGCTATTCAAATCCCTGGAGACCTAGAACGGCCGCGCCTCCGCCGGTCGGCGCGTTCGTCAAAAGGGCTGCGGGCGAAAATGTGCTCGCAAGTAGCCAGACGATCGTGCCGTGTTACTTTTGCATTGCCTCTCGTCTCGCTGCCTCCGGGCTCGTATATCATGGAAAGAGTTATGGTTTGCCGTCCCAGTGAAATCCACACCTCGCTTCTCGTCCCCTGTCTTGCCCACCTTTTTTCTTCGAATGAGAGAGCGTGGGAAGGTAAACGAGCAAGACGGGGAGAAGAAGGTCGCGACGGTATGACAGGGACAGAGACCAGGGAAAGGGAACGAAAGAGCCTTTGTTTTCCACATGCCATCCCCCCTGTCCCTCTCTGCAGTCTCCGCGTTGAAGGGTAATTAAGACGGACGGCGTTAAAAAAAAAGAGAGTAAAGAAAGAAAGAAAGAGAGAGAAAAAAAGGCAGGGACGAGAAAGAACGGGGTGGAAAATAGGGGGGCGGGAGGTAGGTTGGGTTCGGTGCAGAAGAAAAAAACCAGGTGGGAATGTAAAAACGGAGAAAGGGTAACGAGAATCCCCGGCGGGTGAACATCGAATCCCCGAGTATAACACGGTAGTCGGTCGTTGCTTTTTACGATACACAGTTCGCAGGCGTGCAGGCGATAAACACCGCCATATTGGACGTCCGACCAGATTTACGAAAATACGAGAGTTACGTAGTGCTGGGGATATGCGTCACTTGCTGGCTCCTCGCTATACCGATGGTGTTCGACGGCGGTATTTACCTATTCACTCTGATGGACTGGAACACCGCTTCTTGGGCGATACTATTGATCGGCATCGCCGAGGTCGGCGTGGTAGCCTGGTGCTACGGGTGCAACAAATTCCTGCGTAACATAGCCGAAATGCAAATGCGGTTCAACCTTTTGCTGCGCGGCTACTGGTGGCTCAGCTGGGTCGTGCTAGCGCCTATCACTTGTCTGGTGAGTGCATCGCAATCGTAAACCCTTCTGTCCGTGTCTTGACAAGTTGCCCTGTTTCCGTCTGCCGTGGGATCTTCGGGACGCGGCCCCGACGAACTATGCTGAAGTTATTCGACGGTAATTAACCCGATAGATATCGAACTCGTTCCACGGACAGCGGACAGCAACGCGAGGGCATTTTGCCTCCGTGTAAATGCGAGTTGCTGGCGTGAAATGTCGGATACGTTCCCGTTCAAGAGTTTCAACTTCCGGCTATTAGAGGGAAGTGATTTCCACTTGAATTCTAACGTGATCTGTACGAATCATTAAAAAAACATTAGTTCACCCCGAAGATCCCTAATACGCGATTGTACGTATTTCATTTATCAACGGCCAATTAAACGCGTTAAACGATATTATATTACAGACGTTCTTAACACCGAAAACGATTATATCGAATATTCTATAATTCGATACTGTCTGACTTTCATCTACGTTACGACACCTCTTCGATTCTTGCGTACAAATAATCAGCTTCCACCCCTGTGAAAGTTGTGTCTGCAATCATACAAATCATTCGGACGATTAAACAAATGCGACCCCACGGTCACGGTAGCGAGTTCGTTTGCTCGGTTCGCGGCATTCACCCTCTTTTTCCAGGCGTGTACCTCATAGTTAAGACGTTAATCCGTTCTCCTACCAAGGGTTGCCTTCGCTGACGGTATTATCGTGGTTTTGCTCCTCGGGCCGCAAGCATTTAGCGCGACGCTTGTGTCCCATTATTGATTTTCCGTTTATTCCCGAGTCTTCCTCCTTCTGTAGTCGTACATTTTTCTCATCTCCTTTTTCGCCGGATCGCGTCCGCCCTCCTTCCGCGCCTCGTTTAGTAAATGACCTCGGTCCTCGTGCGCGTTAAGAAAAAAAAAAGAAGAAAATACGCAGCCTAAATAATTATGTTCCGTTGCGGCCACTTCATCGTTAACAAACGCGAATCCGCGGGGAGTGTCCGTGGATTGCCAGAGCGAGCGGAAGCCGAGGGGTGGGAAACACGACGACGAGCGTAATGATCGTTCTCTCGAGTCGACTCCCGCGTATTTTCATCATTATCGCTGCTGTTCTGAGCCTCGGTAAAGATTCCAAAGATCCCATTCTGACACGCTCTTCGATCGATTTCCACTCTCGTCTCGAGACCCCTCGGATCTCCGTATTTCTGGGTCAACTTGATCGATCGGATATGTTATTAAATCTGACGTTCTCATCGCGCGATTTGATTCAGGTGACGGGCACTCCCTTTGTCAATTTTTGACACAACTTATTTTCTATCGTATTATTCGTCCTTTCCCGGAATCCCGGTTCTAAATGCGTGGTATAAGTGTAAAACCAAGTATTCACTGGCACAGTTTCCCGCAAGTAGCCGCATTGTATTTTCTTACTGCTCGCAATGTCATAAAGAATGTACAATGTTTGTTCCCGTGTTCCTCCCACATCTTGCCAGTATAACTCGATTACACTCAACCGGGAGTGTTATGCAACAGACAGATTTTCCTTTTTCCTCTTGGCCACATTAAATTCGCTCGCGAAACCTTTTTAGAAAGGAGGCAAAGAAAAGATTACGTACGTACTACGTAGCTCTTTTTATGCATTTTAACAGTGAAACGTAACGCGCGATCGTAACTTTGGAAAGAATGCGGTTATAGATTCGCGGTTCAGCATTAATTCTCTCGGGCAGTAAAAGCAACCATTTTTTTTTCGTCTCTGTTCGTGACGGTAAATGTAAAATTACGCTATGTACGGTTCCTATTACGGGGAACGCGTGAAATATGTAATGCCGGATCTAAGGAAAGGTCGTTTTAACGAGACACGGTCATTCCTTTACGACCCTTCCATGTTCCCTTTGCAGGATTACTCATGTAACTTTTATTACGTGATAAGATCATGCCTCTTTGAATTCTCAGAACGATGTTCAAGATACTGATAATAATAATAATGTTATATAAATAGAACATGTTTTAAAAAAAATTATGTAAGTTTTTTTATTTACATTGCAATGAAATCGTAAATGTAAATCGTATAGTATTAATAATAGAAACAATACATAATAAAATAAATTCCATCTAACAGGTACGAGTATTAATCTATTTTTTTCTTTTTTATAAAATTATAGATGATTTGTATGAAAACATATGTTGCGAACCTTCAAAAAGATTAGGTCTGTTCTAGTTATTTGAATGACGAATTACGTTTTTGAAACAATTTCTAGCTGACGTTTCAGCTACGGTGATCATCGTCTATGTTGTTTTTGCTAAAAACGGTTTCGAGAGGGAACATTCCGCGAGATAACGTCACCCTGGGACGTCGCCTCGTACCATTATATCGTTGGATGTGTACACTTCCATACGCAAATACCTGTACTCGAGATCAGTTTTTCCCGGTGGCCGAAGCTCGCGCGAAGGCAAAACGAGTTCCTGTCACATACCATTTTGCCGATGGTAAATCGCGGCGGGTTAAATGATTACGCGGATCAAGCACCGTTGATTATTGGGTCCGGGCTACGGACCGATCCGAGAACGAGCAATCGAATCGATAACTTATATTCCATCACGAGCACCAAATCGAATTGATCATCGGAAAAAGAACGAGCCACTCGCGTCCACGTTTTCCTTTTCCCTGGGAATACAACGGGAACGACAGGACCCGGCTTTGTTTCCCAACCAATCGACCGCGATCTCCGTTGAGTTATCGTCGTTCTCCGATAACTCGACCACCCGCGCTCCGAGCATCGGCTATATTTTGTATAAACTTCACTTATGACTTTCGTATTCCTAGTTGAACTCGTAGAGAATCAATATCGTCGGAAATACTCGTTATTTCTCATTAGATTACTCACATTTGGCTGTGTATACATATATAAACGTTCTTTGATACGTACAATATTAACGACGAAAATTGAGATGGGTATCTGGCGAATCATCCTGTATATGTATTATAAATATTAT